TCTCCTTGGTAGATCCTGCACTTGATGACTTGATGGCGACTTGTGTAACTGGCTTGAAGCTGGCCTCAAGTGTTTGCCACATCTCCATCCAATTCATGATGAAGGCTGTTAGGGTCCTGTCTATCTTGTACAGTTCTAGGGATTCCAGGGGGCATTAAGCCATAGGCTTTCTCGTAATCAATCCAGGCAGTGCACAGATTGGTTAGTCTGTTCAGTCTACCACTCTGTCTACCAATAGCTTCTTTTTTAGCTCAAGAAGCATTTAGTTTCTGTGTGAATCATGTCGGGGTCTGGTGCTGTCCAGCCCTTCATGTTTGAGACCCTTCCTTGGATGTCTGCCACTGTGATGGTTACTGGACTGTGACTGATCTTGGCTCCACTAGCCACTGAGCATTGTTGCTATGGGTTGCATCCTTTTCCCATACACTCCAGTATTGCTCCATCTCCAGCCTTGGTGGGGTTGTTCTTATATTGTTCACCTGCCACTGAGAGTACACCTTGGATGGTTTGATGGACTCGGCTGACTCTCTGGTATATGTCTTCAAGCGGCTACTGCTCCTTGTGGCTTTCCATTTAATATGAAACATGGTACATCTTTCTTTGTGGTGAAGGGTAGTGGCTTGATGAAGTGTTAACACCCCCCACAAAAAACAAACAAACAAACTTGCCAAGCTTCTTTTCAGAGAGGTGTGATAAAAGTCCATAGGCATGGGCTGTACGTGCCAGCATGAGCTAGCTAACATAAGTAATCATTAGAGCGATATTATATTAAACACTTAGGTGACTGTTGGATTTTATGGTGATGCTGTTCACCGTGCTCTGTCTTGTGCAGGTAGCCTCAGGGAATAAGGTCTTCTGTATTGTTGGGATTAATAATTGTTTCATGCAATAAACATCACTCTAGTGCTGTTATGATAACTCCCTTAAGCTAAGACAAGTGTGCACACTTCCCTGCTCAATGTTGTTTATCCACACATTTAGTTCATAGAACATACCATGAACAACAAATACTGTGAAGAGACTAAAGTGACTACTATCTAAAAACTGCTCAAGTAGTCACTCTTGGTTGTAAGGCTTTATTTTTTAAAAAACAGAATAAATTTTATGACTCAAGAGAACTGTTGAATATATAGTGTTTTTTTTTTTTTTATGTACCCTATGTGTGAAGAACAGGAGACATGATTATGGTTAATGAGATTTTAAGCACGAGAACCACCTTTTGTTTTATTAATGAGATTCTGTGTTTATCCTGACTTTGTTGTGGGAGCCCAGTGTCAACAGAGGTCTAATGTCCTTATTACCTTGTCCAGGAGGACTGTAATAGCTGTGCCTAAAAATGTAATGATATGGCCAAAAAAAGCAAAACTCGGCCTAATCCTCATTTTTTACATTAAGCCAAGTTTTCTCCTCTTCCAAATAACACAACTGCTAGTTCTCCTCTGTTAGTTCCTGGACCTACAACCTGCTGTTATTTAATATCAACTGCATAACTTCTGGAGTTGGGTAGTGTATAACTGATTGCATTTATTTTACTCTTGTAGAATTGCAGAAATATGAATTGCTATCATAACTGTCTTTGGTGTGGCTGCAAGTAGATGAAGCTTTTGTGCAGATATTTTGTGCAGAAGTATATGTTGCCAGATTTACTATAGCTTTTCTAAAATTGCTCTGTGTGTGTGTGTGTCTCCAAAGTCTTACCTCCTCTGGCCTCCGTTCTGAGATAGCAGCCAATAAATATGTCACTCTAAGACCAAGGCATGGCTCTGAGGGAAATCTCAGATCTCTCTCAAATCAGCCGTTAGAAAGAGAGAGGCAGAGGTCAGTGAATTCGCAGTTGTTTTCTGTGCATCCCCCACTTACCTACAACCATCTGCCCCACAGCCCAGCCCACTTAACCAAACTAAAAGCCTTTAGGAGAAGGAGTGGGTCTACAGTAGTAGGGGTCAAGCTGTGGCCTCTCCTCCTGTACTGTCAAGAGTGCTTTACTTTAAATCCACCTGAGGGATGTCTACACATTCGTATCTATGACATTATCTTCATACAAAAATGGGCACTTTAAAATTGTATGATGAGGAGAATTTCCATAATAGAAATATTTGAGAAATATTCAATTCCATTCAGTTTTATTTATAAAGCGCCAAATCACAACAACAGTCACCTCAAGGCGCTTTATATTGCACAGTAGATCGTACAATAATAGTTACAGAGATAAACCCAACAATCATATGACCCCCTATGAGCAAGCCCTTATGGCGTGTTAAAAAAGAAATATATGTTTATTGTAAAAAGGTTCTGTAGTATATTTAGTAACATTTCAGTAAAGGCAGTCCATTCTTTCCAGATTTGCCTGAAAATACAAATACTTACAGAAAAATGTTGTTTTTAATTATTGAGAAATTTAAGCGTGCCAACATAGAAGTGCCAAAACCAAGTTTCCTTGAATGGACTCAGTCCCCATAAATGTGTAGCCTGTGGTGTAAAAAACACTTATTGACTCCAAATGTTTTTTTGTTTTTTCAATATATAAATCAAGTCAAGTTAATTACATTAAGGTTTAAAAGGGGTGTTGCTAAAACTTTCTCTTTTTCTTTTACACTATTATTTAATTTAATTCTGTTAAACTCCAGTGTTACTAAGTACTAATTAGCAGCTATGTGCTTTCCAGAGTTAGCTGGCGACTTGGTACTTTAACTGCAAATATATCCAAATATTGTAATTTCTGGCTCCACAAAGTCATCACCATTCACAATAAATTGGTGATGCCCCAAATTTATTTACTAATATATTGCCTTGTGCTTGGTTAGTGAGGTTCTGTTGTGTTCCTTGAGCTGAGCATTTTAGCTCTCTCCTTCTTGCTGTTTGGATAACTGGATGGGATAAGTGAGTGGCTGATCTTATTAAGAGGCACAATGCATGCTCGTATGATCAACGACAAGATAGACAGCACCCCGCCCCCTCAAACGCATTCCCTGCTTTATTCTTTTCTATTATAATAGGAGCCATGTAAACATCATTTTAGAATGATTACATTTTGAAACAAGCAATTGAGACCAAAAACTCATCAGGAAAGGGTCTAAGGTCAAAGGAACTGAGTGTTTTTCTGTAAATCTTTATCTATAAATCATTATCAAATAAAGCAGGTTAATGACACTTCTCTATTTACTTAGGTTTTCCTACCCAGAAGTGGTCTATTTTAGTCTATTAGTGGTCTATGACCTAATATTTTTCTATTAACTTAAAATATTAGAGTGCATCTTTAAGTGAACAAAAGCAAAAAGTGAAGGACATTTTTGTTTTTAACTCTATAATAAACTCTGGAAGGATTTTGAGTCCATGCATGTGTTTACTGATAGTTTTCTGTCTATTCTGGTCTTTGGGTGCTTGGCATGAACAAACTGGTACTTATATAAAACATTGCATTCCATTGATTATAGCTGTTTACCGGTTGGAATTAGTGAAAGATTAAAAAAAAAAAAGCATAACTGATATGTTGGTTCTTTCTTGGTAAACACCAATTACTGGCTCTAGCTTTTGTTTGATTACAGTCAACTAAGGTTTGATTGCAGACATAGCTTTGTTTACCACCTAATATTTGCATGACGAGGTAATCAAATTTAATAACAGAGGAGTATAGAAATGCCTCAGACAGGCCTTATTATTTTTTAATTTCATGTGATTTTTTAAAGCTTTGATTACAGAGAATTGATGGTACTTTGGTTGCTCTTAAGTCTCCTGTCAAATGCCACAAGGTTTCTAAAATTCCAATCTGCGTGTGGGATATTGGGCCATGTGGGTCATGACAAATGCACCCTTCTGGAACACTGAAATAGCAGCACATATGTCTCACACAGCTTCCACTGTATTGTAGCTTGTATGGCTCACATCCAGTTCTGTCAGCCAATGCGACTCAAATGCATTGCCTTTATTTTCCACTGTTTTGATTTGGTTCCATCTGTTACCACTCAGTGAGGGGCTTAAGATATTATTTGACACCCAAGGTTGAGGAAACATGCAGGCTGCAGACCTTTCTAAAATGCTGTAAGTTTGTCTTCAAAACACGAGTAGCTGAAATGCAGGAAATCTAACAATATGTGTCATTATTACATGTTAGTACTGGCATGCAGACCTGCTGTATAATGGCTTAGGATGATCAAGGGGCTCTTTCAAGATAACAAAACTGTAATACTTCACAAACAAGATAATTACAAGTGTTTGACTGAAAACACATCAAAGTGAGCAGCATTCCGTTGATGAGTTGGACATGGAGTTCAGAATGCCAAGAGAGGACATAGGTTCACTTAGTAAACTTATCTGTGAGTGGGTATGGGGACAATACTTGCAAACTGTTCATCTCTTCTTACCATGCTGGTGGGAACGTAATTACTATTGATGATACAAATAAAATGTGCCACTTATGGACTTCTGTGTCACAATAGCGTCCAATCAGACAGGATAATGAGCAGTGTTATTTTAGAGGGATTTTCACCACGCTCTGCTGAAGTTTGTTTGAAGTAAACATCTGGCCTTTTTCCTTGATCAGGTTTTTTGTGAAACTTGCGTCATTTCTCAAGTCCCATTTCAGTGCAAAAAGTCTGTTGAAATCCATTTTATACATGCAAAAATTTAGCACTAAAGAGTAATATTATGGGTTTTTTTTTTTTTTTTTTTTTTACAAAAGTGAGTTGTGGATGATTGTATCAAATACCCCCAAAGGCTCAGAACTAAAGTGAGAGCTGTTGTAAATGTGTTAAACCGAGAGAACCTCGTAAAGTAAACTAAGCTGGGAGTGGGATGACTTTTACTAGTGTGTTTAGAATCGAAGGGCTTTAAGTCCTCAAGAATTAGGAGGGAAATTTTCGTTTGACAGCTGATTAATGCTCTTGGCCTCTCGTGTGTTCCATGTGTTACCTCTACTGTGAAATGATACAGCAAAATAAAAACAGTGTCCTTACTGTAAAAGCACAATTTGGGTTTCTGTAATTAGGTTTTTCTCTCAACAGCTCTCAAAATATGTGCCGACAAACAGAAGAGAGGCCACTAAACGGGGACACTGGCAGGGAGTGTATTGCACGATGAAGATTTTAAAAAGGAGTAAGTATCAACTTAAGTCTTTCCTCCTTTCATGTCATATTCTTAGTGGTTGTGTAGCTAAGGTACTGTTTTGCCAAATGATGAAGGGTGAAGTGTATGGACCGCTGTGAAAGGCTGATATTCTTTTTTCCCCTCTGTGAGTTTATGCTGGATCTCTACCACATATAATCTTCTCTCTGATTTCATTACCAGTCTTTAGCGCATCTGTTTGTTTAGTGACATCAGTGCTGGAGTTTACTCGCCATACACGTTTGAGAAGTTGACTCTGATTTTGAATAAGATGTGTACTGTTCTAATTAGCATCACGCAGAAACCGACTAATGCAAACTTGAATTGACAAATTTGAATTGACATTGCTTTTATAATTTGAGATTACGGGTTTTAATAAAACACCCTATTCATGCCTCATTTCCACTGATCACCAGCTGCTGGGTCAATTGAATAATTAAGAATTAAATTAAACTTCAGTTTGGATCCCTATTTTCTAACAGTCAAGTCTTGTAGACTAAGCATAAGTAGCAGAGATCAAATAGGGAAGGGATGATGTGCCAAGCAAGAATTTAGCGATGTGAGCTCTATCATGCACTAAAATGGAAAGGTCTGAAGTGGCTTATCTATTTGATCTCTGAATCCTCTGGTTCCACTCCACAGAGTGGGGCTGTTATTTTTCTGCTTGCCCATATTATACTTCAGATTTCAGTGCAACCCTCTATGTATGCAGCATTTCAGTCTGTATTATCCCTCTGGACTGCTCCTCTCATCATTGCCAGCATGTAATACAATACTTTCTATTGACTTCTTGGGAAGCAGCTCTCGCAGTGAATTGACTGTGTTGCTGTGACCTAAAGTAGGCTAATTTTACTCAATGGTGCATGAGTAAATGTTAAGTGAAGCTACTTTCGATATGATAATATTGCATCAGTATGTATCACCATATACCAAGGCGCTTTTTTATCATTTGCTGTTTTTCCAGTATTGACTGTCTTTGGGTATGCATAGTATTGCTTTACAAGGACCCACAGAGTGTAAAGCACTGAGTATTTAGTAGTAGTAGTACAGCATGTTCTCCCAAAGTTCTGTGGTATATATATTTATGCATTATCATCAGTAAAGTACATAGTAATTTTTTGTTTTTAAATAACTCGGAAGAGTCTAATCTAGCAAAATACTGAGAATGTAAAGTATTGGACTTCAGGTTTATGGAATTAACTCGGAGGACTGATATTTAAGATAAACCTAGCAAACTGATAGATCAGCATTTCGGCACCTGAACTGCTAAGGGCAGCGCTGCTATAAATCACAATTTTCCATCAACACAGGACTGCTTCAAAAGAGCTAATCATCATTATTTTTAATTCAGTAAAAGGCTATTATGAAGTTAAACATGTATAGAGCCAAGCATAAGGTAATACAGCTTTAGGCTTAAAAATCTCAAGTATTTGTTTAAAATGTAATTAAAAGGTTTCGCAAACATAAAATGTGTGAAAATGGTGTTAATGATTTTAGCGTAAAGTAAGAAATAGTTCTATTTTCTATTTTTTGTAACAATGTCACTGCAAGAAAAAAATCAAAATAGTGGACACAAAAAAATCTAGTTCTTATGGGCCTGCATTAAAAAAAACTTTTAAGTGCACGTTATTTCCAACCAAATCCAATTAACATGCAGCAGAGAATTAAGTAAGGGAACTTTTAATCAACTGTAATTGCACTGTCGCTTTCAACTTAATGTCAGTAGTGGGTCCTATTGGTGCAAAGTAACAACATACTCTTCAGACACACACACACACACACACGTATGTATGCATAAAGCCTATCTGATTTACTGCTTTGTACACATTGTGCTGATACTGAAAATCACACTATGCATCACAGCACCTGATGAATAGACCCAGTGTAAAGTTATAGTTGGGTTGTAACCCTATGATATATGCAGGTTGCAAAGCTGCATGAAGACTGCTTACGAATAAAGTAGTATTTCTGGAGCCGATGTAAAACTGTATAAAAGTGCTTATAACCACACTCTGTCAGTAACTCCACGGACTCGGTGACTGTAACCTGTGGAATATCCTCTGTATTCAAAATTCCTTTTCAAAATGTGAGTTTTTCAAAACCTTTGAGTGTTTTATACAAGACCTACTGAAGAAATTATTATGAGCAAATGATCCTGTAACTGTACCTGTAAGAAAAGAAAAATAAATAACAAGGGCATGCATCAGTAGATTTTGGAGTTATTTATAAGACACTTAGACAGGATGGCTGCCTTCATCCTCTGTGTGCATTATCTAGGTTCTTTTTTTTAATTTTTTATTTTTTTTTATTATCTAGGTTCTACAAAAACAATTAAAAATAAAACAGGGACTACACTAGTAGTAGTATAAAGACCAAAGTCTTAGGACCAAATTTTAAAGCTGTTCCCACAGACTTTAACTATAAGATTTAGAAATAGGTGCAGTGCACACTATAGGATATCATTAAATTTTCTTATCAGTAGCGGGTATACCGCCCTGTATGTAACTTTCTCTCATCAGGCTTACATATCTGAGTCATGGATGCACACACACACTTGCATGCTTTTTAAACTGCAAGTCCTCACCTCATCCTTATCTTTACACGAAAATCATTTTAAAGCAACTACAATATTGGCTTTATTTTCGCAAGTTTCTCCTCCACTGTATTACTGCCCTGTAGATCCCTAGATTCCCCCCCCCGTTTCCTTTTTAAACATTCTTTTATTGTTAGTACCCTGAGTGATATAAACAGGAGGTTTGAACGTTTGTGTATCAGTTGGATATGAATATGGCTGAGTGTGACAAAGGCTCAGTTAGTAAAACAAGCTTAGGAAGCTCAATATTTCGAGAATTAAAAAAAGTGGCAGAAGCATACATCTCAAAATCTAAGCACGTCTTTAAAAAAATACAACAAATATTTCTCAATAAATAAAGTAAAAGCATGTTGATACATCCTCATTGGTAATTTGATAGAACACCATGTCTATTAAAATAACAGGAGATTAAATACTGTTATGAATATAGAGAAAATGATACTGAAAATAATTACATTTGTGTGTCCTACTTGAACAAATCTCACACGTGACCACACATTTTTAAGCTCCATAGATGTTCGGGCAACTCACTAGCTGGTTGTATTGTTTCATTTTCACTTATATGTATTCAACCTTGCAGTTATAGTTAGCTGTGATTTGGGCCTTGTTGAAAAACTTCAGTTCAGCTGTCTTGAAAAAGAAACACACATGTCAAAAGAAACATTTAAATAGTGTAGCTAGATGTGCATTTCAATGTAATTTGTTATGTTTTTCATGTAACAATAGTTGTACCTCTTGTATTGTTGAGGATGGCATCATACTGTAGCAATACAGTGCAATAAATGTTTTTTCCTCATATTTTTCAGAGTGCACCCAGCAACTGACAAGTTGACCTTGAATGTATAATGCAGTAGATGAAGCAGTTATTCTAGACAAAGCTGGTTACAACAAAATTCATAACCTTAAACCTAAGAATATGCCGAGATTGTTATCTTTAAACGTTCTGTCCTAAATCCTGGAAAAGATTGAAGTTATTAGGGGAAAAGTATCTAAAATCCTTTTATTCAGATGTCTAAAGGTAAGGGTAAATATGTGACCACAGTGGGGTATTTTGCCAGTTAGGAATAATTCCCTACTCTAAGACGGTAGATAAATACGGGTTTAGTTTATTCATCTGCAGCTGGAAGTCAGAAAACAAGCTGAAATAACACATATCACAACCCAATTCTTTGCGATTAGCCATGCTTCTCAGCCACTAAAGGGATTTAAGACACGATAATAAAGATAAAAAGGAAACATTAATGATTTTGTTATGTTAATTAAAGGCAAGAGGATTAGCAACAACACAGGAGCCTTGTGAAGGAATAAACAGACAGGGACTCTGACATTTTTCCAAAAACATTTATAATAATAAATGAATTTGGTCCATGCTGTGATCAAACAAATTGTATGGGAATTGGGGGGTGGGGGTAAAACATGAAAAAATGAAATAAATAAATAACACTTCTCACTTGTCTTGAGGGGCAGTTAGAGTTTGAATTCTGTGGTGTGTAAAAGTGTAGCATTAGTAGTGTGCACTGCTGGTCAAAAGTCAGCAGCTACTGGGATAAGTTGTTAATTTGTAAAGAAAAATAAAAATTAAGAAATTGATGAGAAATGTTATAAATTACAGTTAAAGATTAATAATAAATAATATTGCCCTGTCTATACAGAAAACATTCAGATACTCGCTTTCTGTAACCACTTTTTTTAATGTTTAAAGATATTGTTAAAGACTTTCTTATACATCTGAAAACTGTTGTAATGCAGTATTGTAATGCAATAGATTTGGCTGTTTAGGTATCTGGAGCATCAGACTGTGGATTTTGAAAATGATCCAAAAAGAATTAAATCTAAATATTGTTGGATTCATAATTACACCAGTCTCTGCATTCCCAATATACACATCTTAAACCTTGGGATTTTTTTCAGTAAAAATAAAGAACTTAAGACAGAACAAATGAAGATACAGAGTTCTTAATGCCATCTGTCAAGCATGGCAGATA